GTCTTCTTTAATATCATGTAAGTAACACTTATTCAACTAATATGTGTCATTTAGGGGTTAGGTGAAATAGTGATGTCGCTATATGCTCAACTTTCCAGAGTGGTCTGATTTGGGGAAGGGAATTTAAAAGTAAAGTGAGTGTTATAAGCCTTTAGTTAGCCCTTTTGCTTTGTGTCTTTAGAAATTTTTATCAGTCACTTTACATTTTCATTATAGTGTTGTTTAATTCCACAGACTGCAGTAAAAACAAGTGTACTCCTGTACCATAAAAAGGTCTATGCTCCATCAAAATTACTATATTTTAATAACAACAATAATAATAATAATATATTATTATTATTATCCCATAATAAATTTGCTAATCTTTAAGTATAAGTCTCCACTTTGCTAGTTAACATGTACTAGGAGAGGCACACTTTGGGGTGCACTACCATCAATATTCTGGTGGTACCAAGCTTTATATTGCCACCCTGGCCCCAGATGGTAATACTGTCAAAGTCTTGTCCTGGTGTCTGGAGATATTGGGGTCTGGATGGGATGACACAGGCTGAAATTGAATCCTAGCAAAGTGGAGTTACTGTTTCTACATCGCAGTTCTCTGTTGGTTCAAGTGTTCTCTCTCAAGGGGATGGCCCTGCCCTTGAGAGAGCAGGTCTGCAATTTGGACTCATGGCTACAAGTGGATGGGCAGGTGGAGGCCATGGTGAGAAGGCCCTTGCATAGCTTCAGTTGTAGCCCTTCCTAGATCAGGATGCTGTAGCTATAGTGACTCATGCCTTTATCATTTAGAGATTCAACTTCTGCAGTTGTAATGGAATGTGAGAATGACCTTGGAAGTGGGGGGGTGGGGTGGGCAGAGATGCTATCTAGGGAATGATCAGATAAAAAGGGGAGGAGCCTGCAACTGAGGAATGGGCAGAGAAAGAAACTTAGAAAGGACCCTCCCTAACTAATCAGGTGGTAAACAGAGACAATGGGAGATCTGTACTTTCAGACTTGAAAGATTCTGTTAATGTAACCTAACAATTAAGTATAAGTAGCTCATT